TTTTCACGCCATAACTGCTGTGTAAGGATGTGTGTGTGTGTGTGTGTGTGTGTGCGTGTGTGTGCGTGTGTGTGTGTGTGTGAAGCCTATATGTACCTCGTGATTACATTATATGAACTTGGAAAAAGTATTTGTAGTGTAATTTAATTCTGGGTCCGCACTAAACATAACTTTGACCTTTTAACATTTATCTGTAAGTATTTTATTGAGACCTTGTTTAGGAAAAATGTGCTAATTTAACACAGGGTATGTTGCATTGTTCGACTTTCTGTAACAATGTATTTCTCTAAACAGATGGTTTTTATTGTTTTATTGTACATAAAGCAAATATTTGATTTGACAAACTAATCTGAAATACATAGAAATATTACTAACTTGGTGGTGATCAAAAAAACAAAAATGCGTGCGTGTGTATGGGTTGAGTTGTTAATGAACAACAGGAAGAAATGATCAAATGTTGCACGGCACTCGAGATAGAGGAAATATGAGAAAGAAAAGCAATGAACACACGAAGGAGGTGACCTATATCCCTGGGTTAGAAGGGTGTGTGTGTGTGTGTGTGTGTGTGTGTGTGTGTGTCAAGTGGGCAGGAGCACTCATTTGCTCTGTGAGCCTTGTAATAGTATTCATGAAACACAGAGTGTGTCTGCTCAAACACACACACACACACACACACACACACACACACACACACACACACACACACACACACACACACACACACACACACACACACACACACACACACACACACACACACACTGAATTGACTCATCCGTTCACGAGTAGAGGCGTAAAACTATCGAACCCAAACAGAGTCACAGGCTGCTTATTTATAAAGAAACTGTTTATAAACTGTATAAATAATTCATTCAGTTGTTTAAATTATTTACACAATAAACAACTCAATATGGTTGTATAACCCTTGCAGGTATGGCATGTAATATTCTTTAAACTCCTGTTTTTTATTGTGTTACAGAATTTAAAATTAAAGTAATACAATTCATCATATTTTGTACATTAAGTGTTTTTGCTTGTGTTATTAACTATTAATGTTATTCGAAATTGATGTCAACTTAGGTTACAAAGCAATTAAACTAAACAGGTTTAATGCCAAATCAGGTAACTCATTTAAATTGTAAAAATATAAATGCAAAAATAATATAGACAGCAGAAAGTCCTGTTCCAAAAAAACTGAAAAGGTTTAGGAACAGTATTCTGTGCTAGAGCATCATTGTGTTTTGGGCACTTTAAGTGCAGCAGCAGAATAGATGTCCCTGTCGAGTAGTTCACTGTATATTAGAAAATGATTTGTGGAGCGGATTTGAAAGCTTGTTGGGAAATGTGTTCATATTGGCCAGACTACATGTTACTGGTGCTGAACAGAAGCTGCTGCTGCCTCCTTGTTTCAGTTATATTTCAATATCACACATTTAGAAATGGTTACGGCCTAAAACCCTGTTACACATGGTCCTGTTACACATGGTCCTGTTACACATGGTCCTGCCAATGAACATTACAGCTGTTTGTTTATGTATTTACATTTAGAGCAGTTACTGTATAATAAAACGTGTTAATGTTAGGGTTGATTGAAGACCCCTGAATTAAACCATAAAAGGTGTTAGATAGAACCAAAAAAGGTTCTAAATAGAACCAAAAAGGGTGCTTACTAGTATCATAAAAGATACTAACTAGAACCATATTAGGTTCTAATTAGAACCATATGGGGTCCTTACAAGAACCATAAAGCTGCTAACTTGCACCATAAAAGGTGCTAACTGAACACATAAAGACTGCTAACTAGAACAAAATAAAGGTGCTAACTAGAACCATATTAGGTGCTTACTATGACCATAGAGGGTGCTTACTTAAACCATAGAGGGTGCTTACTTAAACCATAGAGGGTGCTTACTATGACCATAGAGGGTGCTTACTTAAACCATAGAGGGTGCTTACTTAAACCATAGAGGGTGCTTACTATGACCATAGAGGGTGCTTACTTAAACCATAGAGGGTGCTTACTTAAACCATAACATCTGCAAACTAGATCCTTATAAGATATTAACTAGAACAATAAAGGATGCTAACTAGAATCATACAAGTTTTTCTAACTAGAACCATAAAGGATGCTAACTACCACATAACCTAAACGTATCTAGGTATCTATCTACCTAGAACTGTCCTCAAAAGAGAACCCTTTAATGAAGGTTTCACTCAGAAACCCTTTCAGAGGGTTTCACCTAGAACCCAACATTAAAGCTGTCAAACGGGCGTGGTTTGCATTCCGCACAGCCAATAGGGTGCTGACAATAAGCCACCAATGTGGTTCTACAGATAACTCTTTATACATTCCAAAGGGTGTCATCAAGAACACATCCAAGGAGCCTCTAAAAATATACTTTTTTATCAAGGTTCCACCTATAAACCTCAAGTATTCCGAGGGTTCTATGAAGAATCATATTACATTTTACAGATGAACTAAAAACGTAAGAATCTGATGCTTTGTAGATGGTGGTTAGGGCAAACCACGATTAGATGGTTGTACTTCAACGTGTCCGCCTGCGGCCATCGGAACCGCATCCAGGGGCCTCATGCTGGAAAGGGCCTTGCTGATGTTGTAGACAGAGCAACACAGAGGCACTAACCCTAACAATCAGTTTGTGGGGAGGGTGTGCTGGGAGGATATTTGAACACCAATGCTTTCATCAATTATTGAAAAACAATTTCTTCCAAAAAGGGTTATAATAAAACCTGTGGTCTTACATAAAACACTTGAATTAAAAGAGCAAATGATACTGGGTAGAACCTTAGCCGTTCAGGAAGAACCCTTATTAGAGTCTAGTATAAATGATTTTGAAGGTATTACATAATCTATTGAGAGTTTACCCCTGACTAACTTTGAAAGAGTTCAATTGTATTTTGCCTGTTGTGTGATGGTTTGTTATGAAATGTGTTTAACCCTCACACACTGTCTGAACTTACTTGACTTGGAAGGATGTTCAGGTAAGTTGTGGGTTCCAAACCCTTTAAGCCACACATTTTGAGGATGACGACCCTGACAAACCTGCAGATAGTTGTAAAGAGGGTCTGTAATACAGGATGAGGGAACATTCTGTACATGATGGTTATAGAAGAGGTTACATGAAGACATCTTCTGTGTGTTCTTACCAGTGTTACGGTCATTCCAACCTTTTGTTTGTTCAAGTTACTAAATGTTTCCCCCAAAGGAATTCCTCTGCAGACATCACATAGGCCTGCCCTGTTCATGTGCAAGAACAAAGCCTTCTCATAGCAACAAACAGCAAGACGCTTCTTTCTAAAGAGAAAAGCAAACATAGCCTTGACATTATGTTGATAGTGTATAGGCCATGATAAAGCAATGTTCATATTGCAATACTTTAACAATGCTCCTGATTCTTTCTTTAAAATATGTATTCTTGACTTAGGAAACTATTTCACCAACAGGTCCATGCATTAAAGTGTTCTTGGTGCTTCTGATTATATTGCACGCTCTCCTTCAGCAGTTACGGAATTGCCAGTTGTTTTTACTGAGCGCTTCCAGAACTTCTTGTCAGCTTAAAAGTTCTGAATTAGAAGTTCTTACTTGTGCTTTGAAACAGTAGCAAAACCAACAAATAAACACAAGGTCCATTTCACTTAACATGTCTCACATCACTGCTCGTGGCACTTTGATCGTCTCACATTTACTAGATTAAGGCATGTCAAGAATACACTTTTTTATCAAAAATCGTAACTTCAACATGGACGTGAAGTCCTTTATTGATATTTGCATACTAATTGTATTTAAATAGCAATGTCTTAACCGAATGTACCTACCTGTTCAGCATCCAACAGCAGTCGGACATAGTAAGGGACATTAGTAGGTGGATGTAGGCCTTTAGCAACTAAAAGCCTTTTTTCCCTCAGGTTGGTGAAGACCAAGAACAGAGATAAAAAAGATTGAATATTGGACTTCAGGTGGGCACGAACATGACTCAATGTATGATCATATTGCTTCATAACAGCATAATGTGTACATAAGCAGCTGTTAGCTGTCGAGCTCACCATTTCATCTTAACAGTTTTCATATTGTATCAGTGTGTTCACAGCTTGTTTCTGTTGCCACCAAGTGGCCAAAGAGAACACACCGTAGGTTGTTGGTGCTAAAAAGAAAGAACATTTGAACATCTACATTTTCACGACAGCTGGGCAAACTTCATTTGCTAAGAGAGATGAAACTATTTGGACCTTTTGTCTTTGGTGAGACTGTTGTTTCTTACCTACAAAGCTGAACATATGAATCTGATGCCTGCAAGAAGTTCTTGAAGTCGTGTTGGAGTGTTGAACTGATGGATGCTGCAGTAATTCAATGTACTATGTGTGTAAGAGCCTGTTGCCCATAACAGATTGAAAATGATCTGGAAAAATGTTCTTTAATCCTATTTTCAGAGAAACAACATCTTTACCAAATGCCTAAACTAACTTAACAGCATATTTGTAGACATGAGATGTGGTAGAAAACAGAGGACTTGACACTGCTGCCATAAATAAGAGTTGGTCACAGCATTTATTTCAATTTTCTGACAAAACTCCACACAAAAACAAACTTGAGACCAAGCTGAAAAAAAGAGATCCTTCTATTGTATTTCATTTCATTTTTTTTGTTTTCGCTGCTGTTTGGCAAGTTAAAGGTGGGGTACTGTAGGTTATTTTGGAGAAACCAGCTCGAGTGCGCTAGAATTTGAAAATACACAACCGGAAAAGATCTGCCACTTCCTTACAGAGCCCCTCCTCCAACACACACGAACGCGCACATGACCAATGAGGGCACGAGATAAGTCTGTGCACAGATGGAAGGCTGACAGGCAGGTAGGCCATCCAGTTATTTTAGCCGGGCCGGCTCAGATCGTGCTTTTTACAGTACTACGGCTTCCACAGATGACATTTCTTTATGGATTTTTTGTCAAAGCACTTACAGTAAGATATTCATTGCTATCGGGATGTTAAGAGCATTCCATGGAATATAACAAAAAGTGTATCTCGAGCCGGTTTCTCAAACTTACCTACCCCACCTTTAAGGTACAGTGCCTTATTCTATATTTCCACTGATTTAAATAATGAAATCAGAGAGATTTCTCTTTTTCCGAGGACACAGTAAGATTGTAATTTTTAAACACGGTTGAGGTTGGGGGGGTGGGTTTGAGGAAAGAGAGGGGGTGCGGGCAGGGGGGAGGAAGGGTGGGAGAATAAGAGGAGGCAGGTATTCAAAGTGGGTGGAGGTTCACAAGGACGGAGGGTTTGCACGGTGTTCACCAACAGACAGACAGGGACAGATAAACAGGCAGGGTGAGGAGGGAGGGGCAGTCAGGGTGTGAGAGAGAAAGAAGAGAGGGAGAGACAGTGTGCTTTGTCATGTCTGAATGAAAACGAGCAGCTCTCCAGACCCACTCCAAACTTTAAAAAAAAAACTTTTAGGAACAATTTCTTAAAAAACACCCAGTCGTCTAATAGAAAACAACAACAAATAACACATGGGGGGGAGGAAGGGAGACAGGGAATGGGGCAGAGGAAGTGAGCTTTTTGTCCACCTTGTTGAGGGCGTGAGTAAAGTTTTATAGTGAGATTGATTCTTTATTGATGGGCAGGAGGAGGAGGAGGAGGAGGAGGAGGAGGAGGAGGAGGAGGGAGAACGGCAGTAGTAGATTGGCAGTGCGTACGTATAAGGAGAAAGAGAGGAGAGGAAGGGATGGAGCATGGCAGGAAATGGCAGAGATTTAGGAGCGGCATCTGGGTGGCTTCTCTCTGGCAGGAAAACTAAAGAGAGACCACCCTCTAATCGCCACTTAGGAATCGTTTTTTTACTTGTCTCATATTCTTTATGCAGTTTGAGGACATGTATGCAGAGGGGCCGCGGCTCACAGTGCACTTATCCGATTGGCTCATCAGTGCTACTGGCAGACGTGTGCTGTTTAGACTTTGGATAACACAGGAGGACAGAGGGACAGAGAGGACAGGGACAGAGAGGACAGGGACAGACCCTAACCCTCTCCTCCTCTGTTGTTGGTCCGCGCGTTGTTTTGTTGTTTTTTTCTAACTTTAAGGGATGGTGATGGAGAGGAGGAGGAGTAAAGGTTATTTTCTTGAACAGTTGTTGAGAGGGGAGGGAAGGAGGGAAGGAGGAAAGAGAGGGAGAACGAGAAGAAGGGTTGGAGAACGGCTGAGAAGTAAATGATGTTTTGATAATTTAGTAGTATGTTTCTCTTTCCACCCAGCCTGTAGAGACGAAGAGAGAGAGAAAAGAGGGAAACAAGAAAGAGAGAAGAGTTACTCATCAACACATTTAATCAAGTGATTAGCATTAAGGCAAAAATACAATTAGTAATTTAGGACTTTAAAATGAGTCCTAAAAAGTTGTAACCTGATGCAGCGGTACTAAAAAAATGATTGATTATTTGGTTATCTTTGTAATGTATAACTTATATGTTTTCCCTTTACATTTGACTTATTTTCACCCAGTAAAATCCACGCTGGAATGTAATTAAAATGTATATTATTAATCACAATAATAAGAGAGAAATATATATTTGTGTACTGTAGTATAGTCAGGGTTGGGAGGGTTACTTTGTAAATGTAATCAGTTACTGATTACTGAATACATGGCTCTGAAAGTAATCCGAATACAGTTACAGTTACGTGTCTTAAAAAAGTAACGTATTCAGATTACTTTTAGATTACTTTTAGATTACTTTCTTTTTCCATCACAGATGGGTATGTTTTGGTGAACAGGAGACACAAAAAGCAAAAGGAAACTGAACGTGTTTTTACTGTTTTAATGGCTTATCAAGAGCACAACTGAAACATAACATCTGAAACCATGTAACAACATAATAAACTTTTTGGGGATGCAGCTTGGGATGTGAGGAGTGAGGGACACGGCTTAGAACGGGCGTGTCGCCTTCTGTCCTGCCAGTGTTGGCAGGACATGAATTAAAATGTCGAACTCGGACTTCATTTTAAGGACATTTCAGCCAGGGGTGTATTTGTTTAAGCACCGGATTGGCAAAACAGGAGAGTGTGTGCACCAGTCTGCCTTGATCTATGAATTCATGTCCGTGACACTCACAGTATCTGCTGCCCACAGCTGTTTTATAGAAGGAAAACCTCCTTCACTTCATGAAATCTCTTCGGCTGTACCTTTAGTAATGAATATATTAAATCTTTCCACCAATAATTCCAATAAGTAATCCAAAATGTATTCACTTCAGGTTTACGAAAGTAACTGTAATCAGATTACTCGTTTTTCAAATGTAACGCGAGCTGAATACAGTTACTTGATTTTTGTATTCTGATTACGTAACGCTGTTACATGTATTCCGTTACAACCCAACCCTGAGTATAGTGCTACCCTGAATACAACTATTTAACACTATTTTCTATTGAATGATTATTTGGGTAAATATTCAAAGTGTGCAACTTTCATGCTGCAGGTATGAGTGTGTCTGTGCGTGTTATCTTACCTCCTGGGTTTCGGCGAAGGATGAGTTTTCGGATCTCATCGTAAACAAAGATGAGGAAACTGTACGGGAACGCACAGAACCACCAGCTGGGCCTGAGAGAGAACGGAGGGAATGATACATTAATGAAGAACACACTACTCATTAATCGGCCTTAAAAGTCAAATGATTTATTTGTGTATTATAAAGGTTGTGGTATTTACTGCTGTTGCAGCTGTAAGGACCTCTAAGATATCATATTTAGAATACAAACTTGAATTACATGACATTAACACAATCTTTTGTAATTGAATACCCCTGAAAATATAAATGTGCATTAAACTGATGTGTAGCTTACTTGAGCGGGTACATCCGTAGTGCCACGTCCATGCCTGGGCAGTAAGACAGGAGAGCAGCCAGGGCCGTTTCCTCAAACAGGCCGAAGATCAAAATCTTGTTCCTGCAAGACAATAAGTTCACAAAGAGAGGGATGTTTTCTGCCACTTTAAGACTACAAGGGTCATGTGTTGTCTCTGCGCTCTTGCGTAAACAGAGGACTACATCAGTAAGAATCTAAATCTACTTTTGGATCATAAAATGGCTTCAAAGTTGATGCAGGCTATAGCAGCATCAGTATCTGGGTTTTTGTGTTAGCACCTTAAATATTGCCTGCAGAACAAAAGGATAGAGCGGGTAAGAACCAGACGAGATGGAGGGGAAAAAGGGAACAATAATAACCTATCCCATAGATTGGGGCTATAAATGAAAGGTGTGTCAGGTTAACTTGGCTCTCTAGTGACATCTAGTGACAGCAGTGGGAAACTGCAACAAATAAAGCAATGCAGAGTTGCCAACACTTCCCCATTTCTCTTGAGATTGAACTGCTTTTATTACGGATCAAATACCTGCATTAGTAGAGTGATGGCGGGTGTATATTATTCTAATATTTGAGTAAAAGTATGTTCTCTGAGCACTGCATTGATATCAACTGTATCACATGTTCTGATCATTAATAGAAGGGAACAATTAAATGCAAATAGTGCAGCAAAGGTAGCAATAAGAAGCAAACAATAAAAAATACTAAATGAATCTACTTGAAAAATATAAGTAAAGTAGTTGAATAAATGCAAATGAGTTCCTTTTCACCACGAACATCCAGCAGTATCCGCATTTGGTAACAATATCGACTATATCCGCACGATGTTAATGCATTGGCACCGACTGACTCAAGTTGTAGAAGGTACCAGACAGTTGGTACTGTGATCACAAGCTGAAGATAAAGACACAATTAGAATGAACCTCAGAGCGGTGTGACTGACCTCATGCCCTGCTGGAACACAGAGTTACGCCTGGTCTTGCAGATGATGACGTCCGCCCACTGCACCACCACGATACTGACGAAAAAGGCTGTGTGGCAAGTGAACTCCACTATCTTACGCTGCTCATAGGTCTACACAGAGGAACAAACAAACAATATATGCGATTTGTGATAATAAATGGTCGTGGGCACAACACGCTGAAGTTGTTGTTGCTTTTTTACTTGTATTAATGCTTTCTTTTATTCCGTCAGGTCACTCACACAGAGCCCCTGAAGCAGCAGAACACTGATCCTGTGTCAGATCACTCTTACCCATTGCTGCCCGTAGCTGTCCTCCAGGTCGTTGTTGGAGCGATCGTCCCAGTTGAGCCGGATGCCGACAAGATCATACGGCCGGAAACCATTTTCTGCCAAGACGACAAAATATGCGAAGAAGCCGCCAAGAGCTTGGATCATACCTGCAGAAACAGAGTTTGTAGTTTATACCCCCCTTTAAATCATGGAAACTGATGACGAGACTGCATCACATGACTGACGGCAAGGTTGGCTGCTCTTTGATCTCCAAAAATGTTGCAGCAAACATTTAAACTGACCACATACTAGGAATCAAATTGGTTACTTTCTAATTAAACATAATAAAGTAACCTCAGTAACACCTCTATGCCTGGCTCAATTTCTCTGAAAAGACCCAATGCTTTGTGGTACAGTTGAGTATATCCAGTAGGCTGGTGTTTCATTATTGCTAATGTATTATACATGAGTTCATTTCTCTCGTAAACAAAATCCACATACTATTCCGTTAAGTTGAAATGCACAACTTACTAATTTGGTTATAGTACTACGTAGTGAGTAGTGTTTACAATCCCTTACAAAGCACTGCATATTAGGGTCAGATGATATACTTTTTAAAACAACTGCAAGACTGTTAATACAATTCATTGGATTAAAATGTGCGTAATAGGTCATCATTAACCTACAGCAAAAAGACTTTTGAGGGTTACTGCAGTTGGATCATGTCGGTGTCAATATGCGTTCAGAAAGACAATATCTTTGTGTTAATACACGGCTTAGTTCTGATTGGACAATTTGGACATTCCAGAGGTTATGAATATCAATAACACACCACTGCTAAGCATACCATCAATGTTGCTAAGGAGGATCAAGGGACAGAGCGTTTGACGTCAGATAAATCAACAGAGGTAAACAGTAACAGGGACACGGTGTGGGCTCTGCATTGTTTAAGGACTTGTTAGTGGGAAAGAAAACTGTGAACAGACCTGGAGTTACAGAAAACCTCCATCAGTGCTGCCGTTCATTTCAAGATGAGTTTTCTTTTCTTAGCGGAAGCAGTATGATCATTTTCAAGTCAATGAATCAGTCATTGTCATTTCAATTGATATTGGGAGTCCAGTCGTTAGTTTGTTTAGTGTCGCGTCGGCCTCCATGATCAGCTTATCGGGTGTTCTTTTTTTCAATAATGACCGCCTCACAGCACATAATACCTTGCTTATCATTTCATGAGAACACGTGTCACCTACCGATCTGTCCGTAGGCGATGCTGATGAGTCTCTCGTTGACCAGTTTGTCCCTCAGTGGGTTTCTGGGCTGGCGCTTCATGATGTCACTCTCTGCTGCTTCATAGGCCAGAGAGATGGCTGGTACCTGACGGAGGAGACATTCATCTTTTAGTGCTTTTATATCAGAAGTGGATGGTTTACACTGAATGCATTCACTTTGTGATGCGTTTTTCCCCCTTTACATTCTTAACTTTCCAATCATGACAAACTGGTCTGGTAACACACTGCCACCTAGTGCCCGTCTTGTTTAATACGCTTTAGGCACAACCTTGAACTCAATATCAGGGCTGTGTTTAATTCATTGAGATGCTCCACGGTCTCCAGATGGATGTTTATTGATGATGCAGGTGACAGGTAATACATGTGATGAATGTTACAGTTGATGTCTATCTAGCCTATTTGACTGGTTGATAGTGTGGAGTGCATGCAGATGAAAATAGTTGCATTGTTTGCTACTGCTACAGAACAAAGAATATGATGAATCTTCTTTGCTGAGCACCATCTGACAAATTTGTCATTTCAGAATTTTACCATTTATTCTTCTGTTTATTCTGTCTCAACTTTTTCATGAACCCAACATTCCAAAATTCCCTTAACTCTTGGAAATTAATTTCTAAATTTGTGTTCAGTGTCACCTGCCTTATTTCAATTAAATCACGTTTTCAGTGAAGGCTTCTCAATTCTCTAATTTCCCCTCCTCGACTCCTCCGCTCGCATCTCCTGTGGGCGGGACTAAGATACGAGGATAGGAGTCGAGGAGGGGAATTAGAGAATTTAGAAGCCTTCAGTGTCTTGTTCTATGCAGATTCTGAATATTACCAGATTTCATTCTTCTATTTTATATTGTGTTAATTTTGTGGAAACATTTTGAACTTTCTCGTTGCCCTGAGGATAATAACCAGGCATTACTGTATTTTATTTTTATTTAACCAGATAAAAGCATTGAGATAACATCTCATTTTCAATGCTGACCTGGCCAAGAAGGCAGCAACGTTACACATGACACAAACATATAAAATACAGAGAACATAACTAAGAAAACAAAAGATGAAAAAGCAGTCACTACATTGTGCACATTTGGACAGTAAGAAAGGTACACTACTTATTACTGCAAGAGCAGCTGGTGGTGAGGACTTCAGACAACTTCAATTTAAAGCATGCTATAGAGACAAATGTCAAATGTATATACTGGCCAGCTGAGAACCTGTCTGACATGTTCACATGTCTGTGTACAGCTGAGCATTACTGGTTCACGGTGCATGCATGAGTGCAATGATCAGGCATGAAAGAGAGCTGAGTGTATGGGGCCACATGTGGCTGGAAGGTGGCTTCTGCATGTTTAATGCCTGACTGGATATAAGCACATGATGCTACAGTGTTTATTTGTATGTTTACAGTGGGCGCAGTCCAGTTATATTTGTATGTCCGTGTCTCTTACCATGTCAGTACCCAGGTCAATGCAGAGGATGGTGATGGTGCCCAGAGGCAGGGGGATGTTGACCAAGATGAAGAAGAGGAAGGGGGTGATCTCTGGGATGTTGCTGGTCAGAGTGTACGCGATGGACTTCTTCAGGTTGTCAAAGATCAGACGACCTGTAAGGAAGAAGATGGTGAAAAAAAACAGGTGCATCCCAAAAAATAATAAACGCGAGGGACACCTCAGTACCTCATTAACATTGCATTCATTAACATTGCTTTGCAGTAGAAAGCTAGTAATTAATGCTCCAAACTCATGTCTTTTTGTAATTCCATCATATCTATTGTCTCATTTTTTCATTGCACCACTACCTTTAAATATTATGACATATTGTTATCATGGTGAAAACAAGACTACAATAGACTCAACAACAAGAACATGTTAAGATACTAAATCTTTTTATGCCAACAGTATTTCAAATGTATTTATTTTCTCATACATTAACTGAAAATGTACTGTCTGTTACTCAATGTAGTATTTCACACAAGTATGTGCAACCTGATTGTAACTTGGAAATCTTAGGTTAACTCTTGTGAGGCCTGACGCTAAAAACATTTTAGCTCAAATTTGGCAATGACACCTGACCATTTTTCTTTTAATTAATCGCGGGTCTATAAAATGTCAGAAAGCAGTGAAAAATGTCCATCCCAGTTTCTGAATGTTCAAGGGGATTTCTTTAAATGCCTTGCCTAAACATGTTCACTTTAATGATATGAAGAAGAGAAAAGCAGGAAATGTCTATATTTAAGAGGTTACATTTTTTCCTTACATTTAATAAATAATAAATAGATGGCAACTTATCGTTAAGTCGTTCAAAGAAAGACAAAAATCGAATCCTTGCAGTTCTACCTCGATTCTACCATTTGGGTAACTTTCATCATGGCAGTTTTTCTTGCTCCCACTGTCCCTGAACGCATCGTCCCTCACCTTCTTCCACTCCAGTGACGATGGAGGCGAAGTTGTCGTCCAGCAGGATCATGTCGGCTGCCTGTTTGGACACGTCCGAGCCGGAGATTCCCATGGCAACCCCGATGTCAGCCTTCTTCAGGGCAGGGGAGTCGTTCACACCGTCACCTGTCACAGCCACGATGGCACCCTGCCAGAGGTGAAAGAAGTACTTAGGTCTTATACTTAGGTAAAAGTAGAAGTACCCGAGTGTAGGAGTACTCTGTTAAGTGAAAGTCCTGCAATCAAAATGTTACTCAAGTAAAAGAACAAAAGTATTAGCATCAACATATACTTAAAGTACCCAAAGTACTCATTATGCAGATTGGCCCATTTTAGTTTAATATATATGATGTGTTTTGATTATAATAAGTAATGCATTGATGTGTTTATCACTACTGGTAAAGGTGCAGCTAATTTGTATTACTTTGTATACTGCAGGGCTTGTTGTGAGTTTCACTCCAGGATAACTAAAGTCTGAATTAAGAGTTGATTATATTTCATATCATTATTCAAAATCTGCAAGTAACTAAAGATATTAAATAAATGTAGTGGAGTAAAAGTACACAATCTCCCTCTGAATTGTAATGGAGTAGAAGTACAACTCAAGTAAAGTACAAGTAACAACATGTTTTAATTAAGTACAGTACTTGAGTAAACTTACTTAGTTACTTTACACCACTGACCCTGACAGAGAAGAGGACACACGATTTAGAGCTTTCCCTCCCATTCAGGATGCACAATAACCATGCTGTCATTCTTTTCATTAAATGCATTTGTTTGCAGGTGCACTTTTACCCCCCTGTGTACATGTATATGAGAGTGTGTGTGTGCACATAAAGTTAATATACCAGTCTCTGGCAGCCTTCTACAATGATGAGTTTCTGCTGTGGGGAGGTTCTGGCAAACACGATCTCTGTGTGGTTCCTCAAAATGTCATCCATCTGGTCCTGACTGAGGTCTTTCAGATCCGTGCCGTGGATCACACAGGCTTTCGCATCTCTACATGACACAGATAAAGGAAACACTTGTTTAACGACAAGCTACTGACATAACATTGATGCAATTTATGAGCCTACATCGAGCGCTTACTGTATAAAAATGATTGTGAATGTCCCATTCCATCCTGTATATGGCTATGCAGGAGAGGCTAATCTCACATTGAGTTTGTCTTACCGTGGGTTGACCTGGCTGACAGGGATGTTGAGGCGTGCTGCAATGTCTTCCACTGTCTCGTTGCCCTCCGAGATGATGCCCACACCCTTAGCAATGGCCTTAGCTGTGATTGGGTGGTCACCAGTCACCATGATAACCTGAAATAAAGCAGGAAGAAGAAGTTAAACAGGCAGGTGATGACAGGGAAGGAGAAATAGACAAAAGTTACTAACAAGTTAAGAGATGAAAGGTAAAATAGAGGAAATGGAATGAGAATAATAATGAAAGAAAGAGGAAATAGGATTGAAAAGAATACTATTGATAAAAAACGATATGAAATTCCCTTAAAAATGTGTGTGCCAGTCATCCCCAGCCGTCGCACACAGGTGGGTGCTTGGTTCTTCTTTTGTCTGGGCCTTTAAATGCCACACTTGAAATGTACCCACCTTGATGCCAGCCGAGCGGCATTTGCCCACGGCGTCAGGCACGGCTGCACGGGGAGGGTCAATCATGGACATGAGGCCCACGAAGCAAAGGTTGTCCGTCTCGAAGTTGACTTCATCCGCGTCAAAGGCAAAACCTTTTGGATACTTGTCCTCTGGCAGGAACACGTGGCAGAATCCTGAAGTACAAACACATGAATTACAAAAAGGACGATACCATAGACTAAAATACAGGAGTTGCTGAGTTCTAAATCATGACCTTAGTTAATCTTCTATCATCCTTACCCAATACTCTCTCTCCCAGTCCTCCCAGTTCCTGGTAGGCGTTCTGGAAAGCCTCCTTCATCTCCTCGTCCATGGGCTGCTCCTTGCCCTGCACCATGATGTGGGAGCTGCGGTCGAGTATCCTCTCTGGTGCTCCCTTCATCACCAACAGGTAGCTGTTTTCGTTTCCCTCTTCAGTTTCATGAATTGAGAGCTGATGGGAACAGATTTAGGTGTGAGCATCAGAAAAATGTAATGTTTTTTTAACCTGTTCACTACAACACTTTGTAGGTCTGCATTGTTTGTTAGTTGAAAAAGGGGACAAACCTGGTACTTGTTGGTGGAGTTGAAGGGGATCTCGGCCACCTTCTTGTTCTTCTCCCTCATGGCCTTGACGGAGCCACAGGACAGCTCGATACACTTCAGCAAGGCGGACTCGGAGGCGTCGCCGGCTACATCGCGCTTCAGGATGGGAAGAGTGTCCTGGGCAGCCTTGAACACAGCACGGTTGCACAGAGCGGCTATGCGGGCCAAAGACACCCATGTTGCGGAGCTTTTGTCGAAGGAGGAGCCTAGAGAATGAGACAATTATAGACTCTCATCTCATTCACATAAGCTACCTCAGCTACACCTTGCTGTTAGTTGTTTTTGCTTCGAAAAAAAGATTCTTCTGTTATTCTACTTTATGGTTTTAAAATGCAGATACCATTTAATTTGTTGCATGCCAGATTTTTATTTTTGATGCTGGAGTTTCTTAATATTTGTAGGATGTTTTAAGGCATGCTGCGTGAAGACAAGAGGGAGAGGGAAATCTCACCAGATTGGTCCTCGGTGGTGTCAGCCTCGTGGATGGTGTTGTCGAACCACATGTGGGCCACCGTCATCCTGTTCTGAGTCAGGGTGCCCGTCTTGTCGGAGCAGATGGTAGAGGTGGAGCCCAGAGTCTCCACAGCCTCCAGGTTCTTCACCAGGCAGTTCTTACGAGCCATACGCTTAGCGGTCAGCGTCAGGCACACCTGAGACATGAGGGAGACAAAAGAAAAGAAGGAAACAGAGGAAAGGGAGAGAGGAAATAGCAGCAAGAAGAGAAGGAAGGAATGACAGTAGGAAAGAATTTGTGGAGAGAGAAACAAACCAAAGGAGAAAGAGATAATTAGTATCTGTGTTAAACTGTGTTAAACAGCACAGATGAACATCTCCAGGTACCAACTTCTGCTAATAAGCAGCCACATCAGGGCCATACTGTACCTGGAACAAATAACCACAGCCATGAATTAAACCGCCCCTGAAACCTGAAGATGTTCAGCCTGCTTTTAGCCATGTTCTACAGCAAAATGCACTAAAAACCAAAACATCCTTTACCAAATAATACAAAAACAGCCCAAACAGCGATGCAATAGAAAAACAAGGCACGGATGAGTGAAGCCGTGATGCAGAGCGGCGGTGCATTATGTCATCATGCCAAGTACGGCAAGACACCGGGGCCAAACAGAACTAGCAAAGCAGAGGAGGCCGAATTCAGTCTATGAAGCTGTCTAGTCATTAGCCTAATATCTTTACATTAGCTAGCCGTTGTCATTGCAGACAGCACCACGACTGGCCTGGAAGAGAGAGAGAGACATACACAGAGGAAGATGGAGAGAGAGAACACAAACACACAAACACATGTGGAGCTGCTTTAGGAGAAGGAGAGAAGAGAGGAGATGGGAGGAGAGATATAGAGACCGGGACAATACACCACCACCTTCACCACAGAAACAGGTACTGACACAGAGACAATGTTAAAGCACATATAATACAAAGGTACACACAGAGATGCACAGAGACATGACAACACACTGAAAAAACCCAAGCACAGCACTGGAAGTAGCAGGGACAGAATCAAACAGCAGACACGACAAAACAACGTCATCCTGAACACACAATCAGACAGGGGTGAAACTTGAAAAAGTAATTTTCTCATAATATCTACAATAGAGTGATGCTGTGATTATTTGTTTTTGTAGACTCGTAAGCTAGCAACAGAAGGGCTCCCTTGACAAAAAGCAATGCAATTTATCAATTGGATTTTGGAATTTTGCCGCAAAAAAAAAAGTCCGCTAATGTTAAGTGTGATGACATTTAGTTTGTGTTAGAAACCGCCGGTTTAAAGACACATAGAAGCTTAGGACAATAAAGAGTGGGGTATTACTGACAAATGTTATGTCATAGAACAAAAGGTCGAAATCACTTAAGCTTCTATTAAAAACACACCTTATTTCAGGTATCTAAAAAAAACACATTAAAAAAACTGTTGACTTTTAGACGAGATAACTTGAAATTGTAAAATGCTAACTCATTTCCAGGTTTTAGGACTCATTCCTGCATCACTTAAACCAACCATACGTTTGGCCTCGTTTAAATGTGGATGATTGTAAGTAGGGTACTTTTGGGGAAAAGAAGGGGCCATCTAGTGGTTCAGAACAGAGACATGCCATGTCAACAACAATGTTAAAAGCTGTTTTTCCTGATTTGTTGAGTATATGAAATATAAAAAGTAAATTAAAATACTGTAACAAGTCTGTGCAAAACACTGGGAACTGAGGAAGAAACCAAACACACAAGGACCATGAAGACTTACAGACGCAAGAAAAAACAAGACGCACTGAAGTAATTACACAACTGGACATCAACCTTGTAAACATACCTAATAATTCCTGTCCCTCAGAAACACAATAACTATTAACAGACTCTATGTTTTCCCTACCTAACCATCAAACATTGAGAGATGTCTCTTTCTACTCACAGTGACGGTGGCCAGCAGTCCCTCGGGAACATTAGCAACAATGATTCCGATGAGGAAGATGACGGCCTCCAGCCAGGAGTAACCCAGGACGATTGACAGGATGAAGAACGACATGCCGAGGAAGACGGCCACGCCTGTGATGATTTGGATGAAGTGCTCGATCTCCTTAGCAATGGGTGTCTAAAGAGTAGGAGAAGAAGAAGGTGTTTGGACTGATTGAAGAAGATGATTGACTTTCACTGGAATGCTCGAAGCTCTTCTGTTATTATTTAATAACCTTTTTAATGTTAGTTTCAACTTAAACTTCACGAAAAAAACCAGGATGCGTCTGACTAAATATGATAACTAAGGAGAATTGACAGGGGACAAAGACTAAATAAAGAGAAAGTGACAAAACAGATACTAGTTTGAACAAACTATGACAAATATTGACGCATTCCCTAACTGTTATGTGGTAACAAAAAGCCAGTTTTGAAAAAAAAAAAAACCTCCATTTATGTTGTGGCTTATGAAAGACATAATATAACATAATGAATATGGTACCTTGCCAGTCTCCAGGCCTGAGGTGAGGGTGGCGATGCGGCCCATCACTGTACGATCTCCAGTGCAGACAGCGATGCCGCGCGCTGTTCCTGAAGAGACACAGGAGAGGGAGTAGTTTATATTATTAACTTCTTTACTCACGGCAAGATGAAGAAAGAGCAAAACAGAAACAGACATGTTAGAATGAAAATGTGTAGACTGAGTATAGACAACTGCCTGAACAGACTGGGTGGTGCTGGACCAAATGCAATGTACTAATATGTCCACAGGAGGGCACTAAACATCATCTTTTCCTATTCTTCCACTGTGGAGCTCAGTGAGAGTCGCAGGGCCTCCCAGTAATATGATGGGACGGAACAGGTATGAGGTTAAATGGGGTCACATTTCCAGACCAGTGATGTGACTAAGCCCTCATCCTTCAGCACACCTAACACTTTGACTGTGATCTACAGTGAGTGCTATTGTGTTTCCTTTTGGTTAGTAAGACAAAACAAACATACACATGAAGCCAACTGTGCATATAGAAACTGTTAGAAGAAAGGAGAGTGGCTTACGCTAACAGTGTTTGGTCTGGACCGTCTTTGTGGAATATACAATGGTAATTTAGATTTTGGATAGAAGTAGGGATGCACCGATTTTTCAGCGGGTGCCGATGTTTATAGAAAAGATTTTGGCGACGGCAATTTTTTACTGTGTTTTGTTGTGGATATTTATTCCACTTTTGTGCCAGGAAAACAAAAACAAAATGTTTTATTAAAAAAAAAGAAACGTTTTTCCAGGCCTACATAATGTACTATCTTTGAATGATACAATTATTTTAACAAAATCTCTCTACTTTGCTGTACTATAAACTACTACTGTAATTGAAGAGATTTGAAGTTCCAACGGACAGTGGTTGCTTTTGATTCTTGTTTTCCATCATAATACGTTATTACCTGTCATTTTTAATACAAATAAATATATATTTAATAGCATTAAATTGTTTAGTTTATGCATTTATTTATGCATTTATAAAAGCATGTTCAATTAAGATGAACACAGGTTGTGAGCTCACTTCATGTCAACATGAAAACGTATAAACTGTATAGCTACAGTCAACACATGTTCATAGAAGTGATCGTGGCCTTACCTTCGACACAGTTGGTGGAGAAGAAGGCGATGTTACGGGTTTCCAGGGGGTTGTCATGGGTGCCGTCAGGGGACCGCGTCTGAGGCTCGGATTCACCGGTCAGGGATGAGTTGTCCACCTGGAAGTGTGAGAACCAAAGAAGCAAAGAGGAGAGAAAAAGGAAGTGGATAACTGGTGCATTTCGCATAACACTAGTTACAAGGCCAGTTAGAAACAGCTTGTGTGTGTTTCCTGTGTTTTGATTTTCTTTGTTCATGCTCCCTGTACCTGTGTTGATTGTTTGTGATGCTATACAGAGGTCCTTTGTTTTCAAAGCTTTGAAGTCTTATTCATAAGGCTGTTATTAATAACATACAAACAAAAAACATTGTTTCCACTGGTCCACCTTCCGCTATATTTGTATAACCACAATCATTTGTAGGGTGATGATGTAGTTACATATGACAGACATTCAATGCTTCCAAGACTTCATTTGAGGTGACTGAGGATTTACAGCAACATTTGCATCTGTGTGAATTCAGCATGAGGATCAACAGTTTACACAGCTGTTTCATTATGAATTGACAGTGATTCTCGCATTGTGAGGATGCTGTGCTTATTCTAATTAATAATGATTCACCCAGCACATCAGGCAGATTCCAAACAGGGAAGACAGAAGCTCAAAGGAGATGTCACACTCATTTCTACTGTGCAATCACATCTTTACTGCCACTGAAAGTAAAGTTTTCTTGTTACTGAAATTACTTTGTTAAGCAACTGAGACCTGACGCTCTACAAAACCTCACTGAGCTTTACAGTTAGGGTTGGTTTTTCCTTGGCGTTAAACAAATTCACTAGTGTATCTATGGCTGTAACCCACCTTGCAGCCGTGGGAGGAGACGATGCGGAGGTCAGCGGGGATCCTGTCTCCTCCTTTCACCTCCACCAGGTCTCCTGCCACCACCTGCTCAGCATTGATCTGCATCTTTTCTCCCTCACGTATCACCAGGGCTTGCTGCAAAAAGAAGAAAAGAGTAAATATGTAATGCCAAAACCAACTCAAATCTGAAAAGGTGAAAAGCACAAAAGTAATGCACTTGTAAGGTACATCAGAGATTGGGGAAAAAAAATAGGAATGTTATTGAGCTTCCAGTACCTGAGGGACCATGTTCTTAAAGGACTCCATGATCTTGGAGCTCTTAGCTTCCTGGAAGTAGGAGAAGCAGCCGGTGATGATGACGACAGCTGACAGCACGATACCCAGGTACAGCTACAGAGACAAGATAGAAATGAAAATAAAACTTAGTTTATCTAAAAATGTCAAAACAGAGGAAAGGAAGACAAATAACAGACCAGTGGAAAGACACAGACAGTGACTACGTTAAAAAATGATTAGTGAGGCATCCTGACATCCAAAGCTGGAAAAGAGGTAAAGGAACTTTTTCATGAAGTTCTGTAAACAACACAAACTGTCTTTTATAGAGGTTTCATCCTTTAGCTGACAGCAGCATGCGGTTTTATTTGGACATGATCATCTGTTTTCTGTCTATATTGATTTCATGACAATCGTCACACATTCAATCTTTTAAATGGTCCTCTCGTCCGACATAACTGCATTACGCTGATCATGTTGTGAATGTATATCCTGGGTGAGTGATACAGTGTGTAACTCATGCTGAATGGTCACTGTTGTTGTTTCACCCCCTGTGGTCACATCTAAGTATTTTGTCCTCTCATGCTGTGTGTCAGTGCCACTTACCCTCTGTCCCGGCTCAACTCTGCGCTCTGACCCGCCATAAAACATGCTGACCCATGAACTGTCATTACTCTCATATGGCCATGACTCTCACTCTCCCTGGGGCGGGCCCAGGAATGGATGGCAACAGGATAGCGTGTGTCAGACGAGGACGGGTTGGAGTGATTCAGACAAAAGGCTGACACAACCTTTATCAGTGACACAGACACCCCCCTGAGGAGTAGTGAGTCAGCAAATCGCTTTTTGAGTGATGTCCTGGAGGTTAAGTAGCATACACATTACACTGAGAGAAGAAAGTAGTTCTCTATGTGTTTACCCCCTCTGGTGCTTTTTGATATCTGGTTTCTCACAAGTATTGCACAACTGTGGTGCAACTGTCCACTTACGTTATCCCCAGCGGGCTCGTCCTCAGTGGCAGCCTGGATGGCGTAGGCCAGGAAGCAGAGGAGGGCACCGATCCACAGCAGGATGGAGAAGCCCCCGAACAGCTGGCGACAGAACTTGACCCACTCGGGGGTGGTCGGGGGTGGAGTCAGAGTGTTTGGGCCGTCCCTGATCAGGTACTCTGCTGCCTTGGCATTGGTCAAACCCTGATAGGCGCAGAGGAGGAAAGAAGAAGAAAAAATGGATCAGCAGAGGCGGGACGCAGGAAACGAAGGATAAAGGGTGGATGGAGGTAAAGTAGGATAAAGGATTAGTGTAAAAAGAAGAAGTAAAGAAAGGGTCAAAAAGACATGCATATGTAAAATAAACATTAAGAAATTGAAATAAATGTGTATATGTGTGTTATGACATGGAGGTCAGTGTACAATGAACAACCTTGGAATCATCAGCACAGTTAAACCAGGACACAAACCATATCAAGTTGAATGACGTTGTACAAGTGTGATTTCTGATGACTTACCTGGACGATATCAGTGGCGTATTTCCGGCAAACTTCCTCAACAGACATTTTGTGTTCCGTCTACCAAGAATTCAAATGGAAAGTTAAACTAAAACAACCGGTTAGTTATTGAATCAATAAAAAATAAAACATATAAATTCTGATTGTACTCAAGAAACTATCAAGCAATGGAACATTTTTCAAAGAACACACATTTTAAGGGCAATCGTGTTGGTGTTGTGTGACCAAGTGATTCAGAAGCTATGTGTTTATAATTGGCTAAAGTTTCAGGTTTTATAAAAAATACTTGTATCTGACCCAGTTTATTACGTTTTTTAAAAAGGGATATCCTGAGGGTTGGGCTTCCTGCACCAAACAGGAGAAAATCCCTCCACAACAGGATTACATATCCTGGCATATTAACTCAAACTAGCACTACTGTAAAACCAGCTGCTACAGAATGTCATGTTATCTTTTTTTCAAACAGGGAGATTAAATTACAGTTGGATTGCAGCTCTCTAAATGCTGGAGAAAGGCCAGGATACTATGTTTTGCAAATTCAGACCACAGATGGGTTTTCACAGCTTATCTACTGTCTGTATTAATTTGAAATGACATTTTGGGGGTTTGTGAGCCACCAATGGTACTGCAAATAGGTGAAAAAATATGTCAAATGACAGCGAGTGAGGTCACAGGAAGTAGGAAGCAGTGCACTTACTATGGGAACTTCCTTCTTGAGATCATCCAGATCCTTGCCTCCCTTCTTTTTGGGCGACTCCTTCTTATCCTTGTCCTGCGTGGTGGCCACGCGGTAGCTGTCTGACCGTCCATACTGTGAAACACAGAGGCAAGATCAGTAAGCTTGGTCCTGTTGTTTTATTTCATCAGCTGTCACCCCTTATTCTCACTGCATCACAAGAAGGCATATTCAACAGTTACTAAACACTACGTTAACTCAATCCAAAGTCCAAGCAAAGACAGTTTAAGGACACCTTGATTGTCCTACTGATTATACCACAAATACTTTTAGAAAATACTTTTGCTTGTCTGCCAGCTGCTAATTTTCTTATACATTAAGATCCAGACAAAACAACTAAATTGAAATCCAAACTTAGATTGAAATCCCTCTGGTGTTAGATGGAGAGATTACACTTCCTGATTAGATCTGCCATCATTAGAGTACAGGCCTATCTCAAGGGCTCCAATTAAACTGCAATTTACACCAACATCACTATTTAGGCTAACACCATTCAGACTGCAGAGGCTGCTGCTGTGTCTGAAAGGAGGAGGAACATAACAGGAGCAAGGAGAGAGAGAGAGAGAGAGAGAGAGAGAGAGAGAGAGATTAAGGGAACATTCAGGGTCAGAAGGTAGACAGAAAGAGGAGGGATTCAGAATAATGGATTAAATATGTCTGTAACGTGCATCATGGGATATTCAAAAAAATAAAGATGTTAGCCTAAATATGTCCTCATGAATTTATTTTGTTTTGTGTGTAGCCCCTTGCTCACATGCTCCTGGGCGATAAATGCCTATTTCTTAAATCACTGTAACCCAGCATGTAACATTTAGGATGCCCACCCTGAGGGATTTAGGTAAAGAATTAAAATATCAGCAAGTGGCTCGGCTTAAAGTTGCATCTCTCACTGAAAACAGAAAAATACATTCCCAACAAGAAACATTTCTTGTTGGGAATCTGATATTTCTGTCATTGGGGATAAACCACTGATGGCGACAGATAGATATTTCTGAAAGCATGATGGTTTCATGGTTCAAGTAAAGAGACATCGAGCCTGCCCTGTGTAACACATGCAAGTTCCAAAATAATCATCTGTAAATAGAGACTTTGCACATTTTATGACCAGCTTTGTGTTGTTGCATTGTGGGTGGTGTGTGCAAATGGGCCTTGTTTGGCTTTCCTTTGTGTTACTGGCGCCCGGAGCTCAACAAGGGTCTGCACTATACACAAACACCCCTCATACCACCCACAATAGTGATACTAAGCTGGTTGAAAAACGGCCAAGTTTCCTTAAAAAAATGATTGGGAACTAGTGTGTTATACAGATATGTTAAAGGGGACCTATCATGCAAAATACACTTTTGTTCGTCTTTTATACATGAATATGTGTCCCCGGTGTTCCAGGGAACTCACCAAGTGTCAGAAAACACAACCCTCTCTATTTTCCTCCATACCCAAATCTCTAAAAAAGGGGCTGCAACGGATCTGATAAAAACTGATCCAGATTTGAACACTGTCCTGACGTCAGGACGGTGGTGCTACGGCTATTGGGCCAACTCCACCAATCAGGAGGAGATAGCCACGGCCATTGCCGTTCGAAAGCGCTGGAGATGCTGTAGTACATATGCCAGGCCAGTAGATGGCGCTGTTCTCACAGAATCAGCCCTTGCAAAAACAAGGCTAAAAAAGTGCAAATTGAGCGAAATGAGGCATGGCTAAAATGCATGATCTGTTTGGTATTTTGAAAAAAAAAAAGTATAAATATGCCTTATATAGGTATGGTCCTACACTATATTATTCAAATATAGCATGATAGGTCCACTTTAAATAAAGTGGGATATACTGCAATTCATTATAGCTAGATTTAATTTGTCGAGTAACCTTGAGTAGTTATGTGTTGAAGTATAATCAAGGTTCTGTAATTTGCTGATTTTTTTTTGGAGAAAATGTATTTATCAATATTTTACTTTGAACATACAACTAAAAAAAAACGTTTGCATATGTTGTCAATTAAAGTTCTTTGAATTGACATGTCAGGCTTAAATTCCCAATTTCCAAGGGAATTGCAATGGGTGCATCTCCCTTATACATGTGATTACAATTTGACTTTGAGAATAAGCTCAGCAGACATTTTCATACCAAGCAGCGAAATGTATGACTATAGTACTTTCAGCTAATTTGACTATCATCCAAACTCTAATACATGTGTGTGAATTGGGGATTCTACGCCACCCTGTATAGTGTGAGGGAAGGGCAGACTTATACGGATTAGTCTCAATTCCCACTGATAAAGAGCTAGCTGGGTGTTGAATTGTCCATAGCCAACAAAACATTTGGTTTCAATCCTCTTACTTGTTTCACAGTGTTAAATGTAAACACTCTGAATGTGTCTGTTTCTTTCCTGGTGCTGTGCAAGTAACCTATACATACTGTACATGTAAATACTCCTTGGTTGCTGTGTATGTGAATGACATCAGCTGACAGGAAGTAAACATGGACCCAAGCTGTTGCCTAGCAATGCAAGCCAGTGGAAATGATCTATACATCTCTGACTGTGTGCAATTATGTTTAGCTTCAGTGTGTGCACATTTAAAATGGTCGTACTGTTAAGTAAATTAAGTGAAATAAAGACATTAACCTTACTTACGTACTCACTTAACCTAACTTATGAATACATTATATATCAGGTATCTAATAACAGTTTGAGAGTTGTACTATAAGTTATTGAATTGTTCCTGCTGCGGTTTGTTTCTAAATGAATCCTTTATATAAAGGCAATAATTAACTCCAGAGTTGTTTTTCTACAGCTACCATATATTTCAAGTTTTAATGTCATATGATTGTCTAAATTCAATTTTACACTTAACATTTGTATGGCCACATTACCAATCTAACCAGGATATGAGTCAAAATGAATTGACTTAAAAGGATTGTCTTTGACTTGCTCGCTCTGAATGCTAATTATTGGCAGAACATCACTAACGCTTCCTGCCCACAGAACGAGGCTAAACTGTGAAGGTACTGTATGTCCTGGGGTTAGCTTTAGTGAGAAATACACAATGTTTTCCATGGATTGATAGACAAGTATATGGAGCTTTTGAAAAACTGATTTTCAATGACGTAATCAAATGAGAACGTCACTGAAAATAAGGTTTCCAACACAGGATAAAATGATTTACTGAAGCATACTCTGCATTTTGTCATTTTAGTGAACGCTGTAAACTTCCATCTTTTTTGTCAAAATGTTTACCACTGACTCATTTGAAATGGATGACCTAACGTTACTATATTATGACTTACGAAACAAAAACACTTTGTAAACCATAATAACTCTGAGTGCATGTTAAAGTGCATGGGATTGATTGTCTTGTTTTTGTGTTTTTACTAATAACTACTTTATTTCTGGTGTCTAGCTTTTCGTGTTCTTAAATTAGCAACACCGTTTAGCATTTATTCAGTTGAGTATTTTTCTGTACTGGTGTTTTTCTGTGTGCATGTGTGAATCTGCATGCACTGTATGTAATGTATCTATGTTTGTGTGTGTGCGAGGGTGTGTATGCCATCTGTTGGAACGTGCAGGAGGTTTCCCCTGGCAGTGGCGTCCAGCCGGCCATCAGATTACTACTGTTTACTACACCAACAGATTAACCCAGTGAACAAAGATAATCCCTCCCTCTCCCTCTCTCTTCCATCTTTTCAATCCCTCTCTCTCCTTCAGCCTTACTCATTCAGTTAATAACAATGTGGAAACATCTTCAACATGTATTTGGCAGAATAGATTTCACTGTGTTTAAATAAAGAGCATTCACCAAGTCGAGTTACATCATCCCCAAATAAAAAGGCAATTTTCCAGACTTCCTCTTAACATCTTAATTTATTCTAATGGAAAGAAAGTCTACTTCTTAATTTAATAAATTCCTAGTTATCTTTGGAATATGACTATTGTCATCATAAGGTGTGAGTCCCACAAAGCCAGTGTATCACTGCCTTATTTTTAGTATGCGTGATTTATGTGTGTTTTTTTTTGGCATCAAATCTAGTTCCTCCCCTCTCAATTTAACTAAACGACTCATCGGCTGCTAAAAAGTGATATCTTTACTGATTGTCAAATACCTCCAACTGCTGAGATGAACAATAGGTAATAAACTCTTTCAGTATACTTACTAAACTTTTACTTTAAAAGATTACAAACATAAAAAACTCACTGTGATCTTTGACAAAGAAAACCAAATCGCTGTTATTATAGCAACCCTGGTAACTAACCGAAATTAGGTTAAGGAAAAACTCAAATGCCGAAAAAGCACAGTTTGACTATTAAAAAGTGAGGGACTGCACCTCAAAGCAAACATACAACCATGTCCACACAAAGCTTGTCAGAGCAAAACATGAATTCACATCACATTAGCAAAGCATGCATCCTCTGCCCTCGTGCTCAAGTGTGCACACATTCATTCAGGATGGTGACTGCAGAGGAGACAAGGCCAACTACTCGAGCACTAGGGCTGCACGATATATCGTGTCGTGACGATAATCGCGAAATGCGCTTGCCATGCGCGATATTCACATCGCAGGACGTGCGATTTAAAACATTTTTTTTTAGGACTTGCGATATTAAGTAGGCAAATTAACTCAAACACGTCATGTTACAATTCTTTTGCTGCTTGGTACAAAAGGAAAACTTGCACGGCTCTCATGTCAGGGGTACTTGAGTGAGTGACAGCAAACCACCAATCACAATCAAATCTCCAAAGCAAACGGACCCGGTGATTAAAGGTAAAAACACTGAATAAAGTAGTTTCATGTGTTTCTCCAGGGCAGTTCGATGCTGCTAACCGAGCTAGCTCAGCTTGTGGCTCTGATAACTTAAGATCCAGACGTCCGTGACTAAAATCCTTCATCCGGTTAAATATAGTTAAAAAAATACAAATTGTATAGCATTAAAGTTCAAGAAAGGATGGTTTGCGGGGAAAAAAACGGTCTTTTCTTCAATTCCTGTATTTTTTCATATCGCAATATTTATCGCAGGGGGAAGAAATCGCAATGTCAGTTTTTTCCAATATCGTGCAGCCCTATCGAGCACGTAATCAGACCCT